TATATATATATATTTATTTAATTATTGTCATTAAATTTTAGACAAATGAACAAAATTAGAGAAAAATGTAGGACATTTATCTTGAATAAATAAATTGTCCCAACAAACTTGAAAATCTTGCACCCAATTTAAATCTCAACAGCAAAGTAAGTCATGCTAAAACAACAAATCGACAACATCTAACTCAAATTCACGAGGCACAAACCCAAATCAACAATTTTTGCATAATTCTAATAAATTATTGACGACTTAGTTATTTCTGTTTGTATTTCATTTGAAATTAAGTCGAAGTCACTCCATGTGCTTATCACCTGGCAATTAGAACCCCACAAATTTCTTTTGGACGTTGTTAATCAAGCTTTTCTATTGGGTTTCATCTCTAGCCTACCCCAACTTGTTTGGGACTAAAAGGTTTTGTTGTTGTTGTTATTGTTGTTGTTAATCAAGCTTACTATACTCTTGTTATATGAGAGTGGGTTCAATTGGAAATTATTGATGCATCTAATTAATCATTAATCTTGTGTGGAAATTATTCACACGAAATAAAATTACTCTTTCATGAATTAGACCTACATAGTTGCTCCCATTATGAGACTTAAAAAAAAATAGTGTTTCATACCACCAAAAAAAAGTAACATATCTAAAAAATATTGCATAATAATTGTTTGAGCAGAATTTAATTAACAAATACATTACATCACCACAAAGAACAATAAACACAAACAAAATAAGACAAGCATAACAACATTATTGAGACTGGGGTACTCGTGGATCTATGTTGCATCAAGAAACAAAGTTTAAGGAGACAATAATATTTACGGGCTCAGAACAATTCACGTTCAATAGGTTGTTTTTATTAGCTAGTAAATTTCAATCACCAAGTAAAAGCTACAAATCAATCACATTTCAAGCAATGGATTATGGAACTAATATCAAATTAACTGCAGAAATTTATCATCCTTCTAACCATTGTTTGAAAGTACAATTAATTTTGTAAGTTGAAGGACCACATTTTTCCTGTCTAAATATCAGCCAAGCTCTCATGACTGAGAAAACTCAACAAATAAATATTCTCCATAGATAGATGCAAACACCTCACATACTAATCATCACGTGATATATATTATTAGCTAATTAATTATGTTTTCGGCCGACTGGTCTACGCAGGGCGCAAAGCAGCGAATTGTTTGGTATGTCGTACTCATTTGCGAAGATCTGTGTCGGGTTGTAAACCCTGGTTGTCTAAAGACACTAATATGGCAGTCCATGATTTAGGATATACATGCAAGAATGAATAATTTTAAGCCAATACTTTAAATGTACCATTCGAGGCCAGTCCAGCCACAAGTACGTGCTTGTTGGCCGGGCCAATTTCGCTGGTCCAGCCCGAAGTACCATGTATAGTTGCTATTACCTGTGTGGTAGTCCGCCTGCTAGCTCGGGTCCGCTGCCCTTTTCCAAAGCTGCTACAGTAACGAAAAAATAACTATATTTAGAAATAGTGTTCTATTCAAATAGTTTCTTTAACAAAGGATTGCACCAAAACGCGATGCAACTATAATAATTGGGCCCGATAGCCATTGAATCTCACCGTGTGGATTAAGTGGGGACCAAGAGCGAGACTTTAAAGCCTGCGAGCTCCTCGACCGGAGGCCCTGCCGGCTCTTCCTCCCGTGTACCTACGGAGAACCGTAATCGAAGGGGAAATCCGCGATCCGAACCACTTTTATAGTCTGTACAGTAGCTGGCGAGGTTTTACTATAAATCTTGTCATAAATTATATAAATTACAATTTACAAAAAAGAAAAATAGAAGAAGATACAAAAGGGCCAAGAGATTTTCATCATTAATCACGAGAAAGGAACCGTGTCCTCCAGACTACCCCGAAATTACAAAATCCTATATCCCTAAACTGCTCGTACCTGTTGTGTGTCGTGCATAATCGAGAAATCCATCCCCGATGGCCAGCTGTTGCCGGCGGTCTGTCCATCCACAACAATACCACCAAGTTTTTAGACAGGCCTCCAGCTTCCATTGCCGCAAGTTCAACCTTACAACAACAACACAGAGGCAGATCAAGCTCACTTTTAAACTTCCAACATGATGGAAGAACCTAAGTTTAACCAATATCACACCCCAACTTACTTTTACAACTTTAATTTTCCATTCAATTAACCATCTTATTCAGGCTCAAGGTAACTAATTACTTATTGAATTCGTGTCTCCACCCTTAAAATCCAGAAATCAGTCCACATCGTTCCAACATTCATTTCACATCGTATATTCTATATCGATTAAAGCTTCAAAAAAATTTGAATTAGCTTTCAAGAATTTCATACACACACAAATTTTTGTTTATGATTAAGACAAAACCAAGGTAATATATTCTGCATATGAGCTCATTTTTCCCCCAATTATCAGAAATTTGCAAATGCTTTGTGAATGATAAAAAGTGTGTGCGCGTGTGAGTGAGTGGGTTTGAAATTCAGTACCCCCATAGGCCAAAAGTATAAAAAATCCATTACCATCCTAAAGTTATCGAACTTCTCGATTTTCTTTGTGAAGTTGGAAATGAGACCCCATTTCGTACAGTGCAAAACGATGTCGTTCACTTCCCCCTCTTTATCCTCCGGCACCAATGGCCGACACCGACAGGGTTGACTTCAGGCAGAGCAGACAGTCCAACCCCTTAAAATCGAGCGGCTCATCCACAGATTGTATAGGCTTGCTAACAGCTGGAGTACGAAGGTCCCATGTATGCCGATATTCATCATCTCCAACAGAACAAAATAAATACGCATGCCTGAGATGCCACGCCACATCTTCAAAGACACCTTCATGAATCTGCTCGAATAGTAGTAGCCTTTTGTCAAAAATGTTGCACAGATCAAAAACCCTAATTCCCAAAGGGGTTGGACCTCACTAAAGTTTTTAGAAAAATAGATGACGTGAAATCCGCCTGAAGAACCCTAACCCTCGAGTCTAACAGATTTCAATCGATTAAACCACACAACGCACCTCATTTATGTCAAATAGATGGAAGAAATCCTGGGCAACTTGCTTCAATTTCTCACGTCTTTTGGCGGAAGGCTTCACAGAGTCGGGCTTCTTCGGCATAATACTTCAACATATAACCGTCGCAGTCGAAGTCGCCATCGTCGTCGGCTTCATCGTTAAAAAAAAAAAAAAAAAAAAAAAAAAAAAAAAAAAAAAAAAAAAAAAAAAAAAGGGTCAGGTTAACCTTCTCAGTCTGGAGCTTTGGGTTTCAATGGTGGATTGAGCAAGATTAAAAAATCTTGATCAATTAAAACCCCACGGCCCGAATCTGTCGCGATTGAACGTGCTTTCGCCGAGCTTTTCATGTTGAGAAAACAATTGACCAGGGGCAATGCTATATGTACACCCCTTTTTAATAAATTACACAAAGAACAGTGCTATATGTACACCCCTTTTTTACACTTGAGGGGGTGTACATATAGACACCCCCTTGACCAGATCTTTGTTAAGCAAATCTTGTTAGGTAGGATTTTAAGGAAAAATTAAAAAGAAAAATGGATTGAACGACGCCGTTTTATTGGGCACGTGTCAGCCTCACAAGGGCCAAAATGACACTAAATAAAATCAATGGCAAAACTGTAAATACAGGACAAAAGGAAGGATGTTTTTGTCCCAAAAACACACGTGTCGGCTAGAGAAGGACACGTGTCGGCTAGAGAATGGCAAAACTATCAAATTAAGTTTAGAATTAAAAAAACTCATAACACCATTAAATTTAGAGTTTAAAAAAAATAATATTTAATTATTACATTTTATTTTCATATTCATTCACATTTTTTAAAATTTTGCATTCTTCCGTCAATTTTTTCTACTCTTTAACTCACTTTTTCATTCAAACATTTTTACATAATTTATAACCAGTCGTACTCTTGAATGTTTATAATATTATTGTCCTCATAAATATATGTGTTTGTTGTTAAAAAGAATAAAGCAAGTAATTATATTAAGTAAATAATTAATATAATTTTTATATTTAAATTGACTATTATACTTGTTGAAATTTCATTCATATGCATTGATAATTTAAAAATGTGAATGAATATGAACATAAAATATAATAATTAAATATTATATTTAAAAAAAAAATAAACACCAATCTTTTGTTTTTTTTTTAACTCTAAATTTAATGTTGTTATGAGTTTTATTAATTCTAGACTTACTTTGATAGTTTTATAATATTTAAGTACTAAATTGAGAACAAAAATCTTTCAGGCCCCGCATTGATAGTTTATCCATCTTTCGGGTCTTTAATTTGATAGTTTTATAACATTTAAGTCCCGAATTGAGAAAAAAAAAAATTCAGGTCCCGCATTGATAGTTTATTCATCTTTCGGGTCTTGTATTGATAAAACTCCAAAATAATCCGGTTCAGATTATACACAGATATGTTGATTATTTATTGTTATGTTACATGTATTAATTGTATTTTAATATCATTATTTATTATAAGAAATTGAATTATTAATATATTTTAAAAGTTAATATTTTTTTGTATTTTTTATCAGTTTTAAATATATAATATATCAAATTAATCGTCTCTTGATGAGCTTCGATTTAACATCCATATTGTATGTATAAAAAAATAAATTATATTTATCCTTATAACCATAATAAAAATATTTTTTTAATATTAATTAGAAAAATAAAATTACTTATCAATTAATATATTTGTATTCAAGTATTATATGATATAAGTTATTAAAATTACTATAATATAGCACATGTAAGTCGCACAAGTAACAAGTGTCATTTTAAAATATATAATAGTATATATTATTTGTAAAAAAAATAAAATTTGAAACAAAATGCTCATTAATTTTAAAATTTAATAATAATTTTCTAACAATCACCCGTGTAATACACGGGCGTTGTACTAGTTTTTTCTATTACAAAATTAGAATTTAGTATTAGACTTATTTTTATTATATTTTAATTTTATCAAATCAACCTTTTTTTTTTTTCAAATCTGCCTTCAGGAAGACAAGATAGGAGAACGCTAAAAAGTCGTAAAGTGCAGTAGGTATCCCCAATCATATACATATTTAATGATGTCAACACAAAACAAGTAGTAGTATGGATCTTGCAATCAAGCTTCCCCTCTCTCATAGTTCTCTCACTTTACTTACTTCGATGAAAAAAAGGTGACAAGATGCGTTGTTGAACCACCTCTCTAGTAATCATAGGTCTCGTAGCCGTCTTATGGTTCCACTAGTACCAGTAAAATCGCATTTCATCCTCTCTGGTAGTTAGCATGGCCGTTTGCTTCTTTGTTCGGTCTTCTTCCAATCACGCAACAACATTTGAGCCTTTAGGTTTTGTGGCGTCAACTTCGATTGTCGTACATTCAGTCTCTATGCTCCCTCACTAAATATTTGTTCAACCGCCAATGTGGAGGCCGAAACAACGAAAATCTCCTTAGTCATCAAGCATGAAATAAGAGTGGCTCTGGAATTTGAGCCACTCCAGAGTGGTGGCTCTGGAAAAGTAGAAACCTTTGGCTATTCAAGAAATAGTGGCTGCCAGCATTGTCCATTGCTAAATTGGCCATGAATGACTGACAAGAGTTTTGCAGAAAAGACAAATATCAGGCTATGACTTTGAAGGAGTGAGCCTAGGTTCTTGTTGTTCAGTTGGTGCTTCTTGTGTTGTCTTGCCTCATTGCTGTCTTTTCTGTTTTTTAGTTAATCTGTAGTGTTGTGTTTATTGTAGCTATTAGTAGTGTGTTTGGGTCCTTTGTTGCAGTATTGTTTGCTGGGAATTGAAATGTAATTCTAAGGGTTACAGTGTGTTACTGGCCTTAGAGTGTACACTAGATCCCTTGACCTTCTTTATTTTGTTCAGTTAGCTGTATGTCTAGAGCATCTGCAGTAAGATGTATCTCTTGTATTATGGCTAGTTGGTCCTCGGTTTGTATTCCTGTATATTCAGTGCTATAATATTCCATATCGATTTGGAAAAAAAAAATCAAGCATGAAATAAGATAAATACGTATCCATTTATTACCACTATCCCACGATATCAAAGTTGAGTGGTACAATTTGGTCTGACAATCGTAAATCAAATTCGAGACGAGGTAATTGATCGAGATCTTTCTATACCAAACAAAGCCATATATATTTCTGTAATAAATTATAAAATAAGTTACAAATCCATATCCTTTAGACTTGATTAAGCTAGCTAGTAATCAGTACATTCAACGTAAACTAAGCATTTTGTTTGGATTATAAAAATGAACCAAACTGATCAAACTATGAACGCTCGGGCTGGCCCGATTCGT